GACGAGTCTTTCGACAAGACGATCCGATCAAGGCGTATGATAAGGTTTAATAAGGATAAAGGCCAAAGTGTCCAATGGTTATTGCACAAGGCGGGTTCGATACTCGAGGGGACCGTAATTTAACCCTTCAAAACCTAAGTGACCAGCATCCAATTTCTCCTTTCCGTAAAACTGTTAAATCATTCATTAAGATCATAAGAATAGAGAATATATCGCCAATCAAAGAAACTCTGATTGTTAAACGAATTCTCCTTGTCAGTACCAAAGGAAATGTATACAAAGAGTATGGAGGATATGGATACTGATGATTAATAAAATCCTACACATCTCACAAATCAATTTTTCTTTGGCCTTTACACTACCAAGATCTAACGATCAACTAACTGATCTGTCTGCCATACATTCATTCTCACTTGAGCCCTTAGAGTTTGCTGTTGAATCCCGGCAAAGCTTACCCCCATAAAGAAATCATAGTTTCTTCTCATCATCTTTCGGCTCGAAATGTATTTACATTGAAAGGAGAAATATACTTTTAGTCCCAAGAGTAAAAGAGGTTGACTATTACCGATAATGTTTTAAAAACAAACAAACAAACAAGTCAACATAACACCGCTGGATAATCATAACGTTTATCCACTAGTACTTACAGGCGCACCGGACGTTCCACGGTCACCTTTTGCTCCTGAAGGTCCTGGAGGGCCCTGGGAACGAGATGAACGATAGTTAACTGAGTTTACTGGTGTCATTACTTTTGGCTAGAATTCGATCAACATTACAATTGCTCAAGAAAGTTCTAAATGAGGGCCAGTAGTACTTTGGTGTTACTTTATTTCTGACTCCGTGATTGATCCAGAGAACTCGTCCCACCTGCTCTGCCAAGCTGATGAAAAACTTGAACCAAACGTTTGCTCGCAGTTCAGGTCTCATTGGCCCCTAACGATGTTTTTCTTTGCTCCGAATGGGTGTTGTGATTACTGTGGTATTATTACTACGACAGTCAATCGAAATTGCGTTTTTGACTATCGACTTTAGAGTAAGACCTCTGTTAAGCCTGCGTGCAGGCTTGTGAGTTTGGTTTTTCGCCTTACGGCACAGTCGCCTTGCACATTATCGCCATTGAAACCCTGTTTTTGTTGTTTCCCTCGCTAACGTAGTTCAGGCTTTTCACCCGACACAGTTGGGCTTGTCAAGCAAAAATCTTGGGCTTATCACGCAACACGTTATCTTCCTTTCGGAGACCATGCTTTCTCAGTATTTACGATGACTTACCTGTTCTCCTTGGGCGCCAGATATACCAGGTGGACCATTTTTTCCAGGGCTTCCCTGAAACAAGAGATATTGTACAGCTAAACAACAATTCAGTTAGTGTAAAAGATGCCTCGCTGTGTCATTTCCCTTCTTATTTTATTTCTGTTCACTCCAAATGAACAGCATCACCCGAAACTTCAGCATCATGGACTACTGCTTGCATTTGTACAAATACGAAACTGTGCTTGGTGAGTTTTCCCGTGTCCGTTCAATCCTGGACATAACTCGTGCAGCTTTTGGTTGCAGCTTACTCCGTCCTAATGAATCTTATTTAAATAACACGTTCGCTTATTTAATTTGGGAAAACAAGGTCGGGACGGGACGAAACGAGGATGCTGGTCTTATCGTTATAATCTACAGGTTGGTCTCCTGAGGCCCGTTTCTCGAACGTCCCTGTAACTTAACGGGCTTGAAGCCATATTTTAAAATAAAAATTTGAAGAATAGAGAAGCAGGATCTGGCGTCTTAACCAATCCATTTTGTTTCTTCAGCTGCTAGTTTTACTGTATAATTCTAAAAACTTTTCAAACCTCCATTTTGAATGAAAACAGAACAGCTTTACGGGCCCGTTCAGTTACCGGGACCTTCGAGAAGCAGGCCCTTGCTACGCTAATTTCAAATGTGAAACTGGGTGACATATTATTCACCCACCTGGTCTCCAACAGGTCCAGTTTGACCTCTTGATCCTCGTCCGCCAGCAGCTCCCTAAAACAAGCCAATGAGTAGTGAAACTGCTGTAGTAATTATTAGAAACAGTTGCAAACGCTCACTTCAAGGTTACTCTATCACAAGATTATTGTCATGCTATCAGAACAACCAGGGTGTCACACCGTAAAGCAAACGACTAAGTTTTTCGAGAAATTTCAAAATTGAAAGTGATCCTAAACTGCAGTTGTTTTGGTTTACAACGTTTTGTGATTGGGCTAGAAAACTCACGCCTCAGTCTCAACCAATCAGATGCTAAAGTGATTTTTCAAAGGCTAAAGTTTTTTAGCCACTGAAGTTGTTAACTTGTTTAGAATTTGAGAACTCATCCGTCCTGAGTGATGTTGACCTTAGCAGTGCTGAAGAATTAAGTTTAGCCTGCATGACAGGCGACGCGGGGCGAGTACTCTTCCATTTGAACCTGACTCGCCCTTCACGCTCTTCTCACGCAAGCCTTGCGCTTGCCTCGCGCTTGTCTAGCGCTTGCCTCGCGCTAGCCTGAAAAACTCTGAAATAAAGTCTGTCCGGCAGGTTAAATCAAGTTTTGGTTTGAAGACACTCAATCGAGAAGTGCACCGAAACAAACTTATTTTATTCTGTAGTTATAATTTCCCACAAAGTACTTGTTACATTGTCAACCGAGACTCTTTTTCGAAAATCCTCTCTTAATTAGCCAAGTTGCACACTAAACCCAATCATAACCGCATATCAATGTTAAATAGTAGAAGTCTGCTTGAGTTCTCACACAAATGCTTCGATCTGATTGGCTGAGCAACTAGCTATCTATTCTGTGACAGAGGGTGAGTAAAGAGACTGAGTCGACTGTGTACGGTTGCAAACAAAATAAAATAAAAAACATGAACCCGTCTTGTTGATAAGTTTAGAACGACTAGTTGATTTTTACAACCATGAGATTGTTTACTCTTGATTCTTGAGTGCGATGGTTCATTCGGGCTCTGCCCTCGTCAACTGTGACGCGTATCACGTGATAGAAACCTCGAGCCAATGATCTAGTCGTTTAATAAAGGAGAAGAGGAAGGTTCATCTACCACTTACCATTGGCCCTGGTGGTCCAGGAGGACCAGCCACTCCCGGCTCCCCAGAGGATCCCTGGTGTAAAAAGAGGAGGTCAAGGTTAGCGAAAAAAAACACTCTATCATAACTATGATACCTGAATATATTATAAGTGTTGAAAAAAAGACGAATTCGACAATCAGTCGCGTGGTCTTACCCTAACTCCGGAAGCACCATCTCGCCCGGGCGTTCCTGGTTGCCCTGCGTCTCCCTATATAGTGAAATAACAGTCTTATCACATCTGACTTAAGGGCAGGTACTGATGTATTTTTGGGCTACATATTTTGCACTATCACTGGCTTATTAAAAGTTTTAAATTCCTTAAGAACAAAAATAAATTAAGCTTTCACGTGGCAGTGTGGTTCATTTCCTAAACATTTCAATTTATTGCTTACCAACGAAACAGTCTTTTCTGATTTTTAATGTTCCCTTTTTTTCACTCACCTTTTCGCCTCGTGGTCCTTGTTCACCAACAGGTCCAGGCATACCAGTGGAACCCTGCGGTATGTGTTATTAAATGCATAAAGCCAAAATCAGTGGGGCATTCCAATGTATACGGTTTTTTGAGCACATACGTGTCGAAAGTAATCCCAGATTGCACCAGTTTTTTCTTTACTTCGCTCTGTAATTGGTGTGTAAAAATAGCGCCACCCTTTCATCCAATCAGAAGCAACAATAGTATCCACTTCTACTTGGTCATTCAATTTACATATTTGTTTGTGGTGGCGCTGCTGTGTAATTTTTTGAAGTTAATTACGCAATTAATCCTTTCTGGTGGGATGGAAACTAGGAGAGCCCCAAGTTATTTTCCTATGGGGAAGTGCATTTGATAAAAAATTTCCTCGTCTATCCTCGCACTCGACCCCCATTTTTTACGCTGATCCTAATCAAGAATTCTGACTCAGTGATCAACCGTAAACTAATAATGCTGACTTGCCGCTCTCTTGTTCATTCTTACAATAAAGTGACGGTTAATTTTCAAAGAGTCCACTTACGTCAGCTCCTGGTCCCCCTGGGGCTCCAATAGGCCCAGTCTCGCCATCTGGTCCCTAAAAAAAGAAATTATTAAAAAAACCGAACGAAGAAGGCATCATGTAGAGAATATCTCGCTGGTTAGACTTAAAGGGCTAGGTCACGACTCACGCATGTACAGTTAGAACACAGAAAAAAGTGGCACCAACGGGCCGTTGGTAACCTTGGCCTTCGTGTTTCCGACAATCCAAAACAAACACCTTGTAATCGTCAGTTTTTACGATGACGCTCTTTGCATTTGTCGTTTCTAACAAAGTTCAACGGCAATTTGATGCCTATAAGTGTACAACTGGAAGAACAGTGCGCAAGCTTATAGCGTGACCTAGCCCCTTTGCGTAAAAGGGTAGAAAAGCCCTTTTTTCTCTCCTATTTACCATCAACACAGTGCTATCAGTATGGATGCCTGTTTTAGCAATCTCTACGGAAACATCACAGCAAGAGTGTCAATACCGTAAAACATTCTGCATGTTCGAGGGGGGGAGGAGGAGGCGGGGGGCGCTTATCAGCCCTGCGAGTCAGTCTCGTATCCAGACCTTTTTAGTGACAACAATAAAGTTGTTAACACAGTTAACGACTTGATACTTACGGTACTGCCCTTCTCTCCTGCCGGTCCTGTTGCTCCTACTGGACCCTCTGGACCCTGCCAGCAACAGAGCAGAAAAAAAAATGGCGAAAGAGAGCAACAACAATGTACACATCTAAATTCTAATAATACGTTGATGCCACCGACGATTCAAGCTCTATTTATAACCCAAGGAGATAAGTTCATTCAATTCATCAAATGTAACATGAATGAAATGTAACCTTCAAAATCTAAATAGATAGTGGTGACAGATTATTTGACATGCCGAGATGTCTGTCTTCTGTGGTTTCGTCTAGCGACTGTAAATACTGCTCATAGCTTGTTGGGTTCCCAATCTTGAATGGGAATGTGGCAGTTCGCTTCTTTCAACAGTGAGTTGTTTTGTCCCAGCTTTCAATTTCGATAGTTGATCTCTTTGCCGCTAGCAAAACACAATACTTTGCTCGACTTCGTCTAATAATTGGTAATTCACTGTTTTACTCACCGCAGCTCCTTGGGCCCCAGTTTTACCAGCAGGTCCAGTCATTCCTTGGGATCCCTGTGAATAACAATAAAAGAGTTGGTCCACTACAATTCGATGAAATTTCTAAAAGTTATCTGGACAATATCTATTGAAATACTTGGAATCGAGAAGTTGTGTGCAAGTGTTGGTTAAGTGGCAATAAGCTGGTACCATAATGAAGAAATCAAATGCTATCATAGGGTTAAAATCAAATGCACCAATGACAGTGCGCCAAACACACCACTAACAGCAAACCAAGGTACTTTGCAGTGATACGTAAACTTTCGACTTCGTCGCCAAACTAAGGCTAGTAGTATGGCAATCGGGACATCGCGATAAATACAATTAATAGCCTTCACCTTGAGACAAACGATTCAACGTCCCTTATCTGAAAAACCACGACGAACATTTTCCATAACAAGGTTAAAATTGCTCTGATCTACCGAAGAATTTTATCAATGCTTCAGAACCTTATCTGTTCTGAATTTACGCTTTTATTTGAAGTCAGTTCTTCCACACCTTGGCCCCTGCCATCAGAATTATTTTATGGAAATCTGACGAGTAGCCTTTGATTTCTGAAGTTGTCACAAACGTGATATCTGGAATATAAACGCTTTCCAAATAGTCTCTTTTATATTATGCGAGCAGAAATTCGTTTGTAACACCTGTCACTGAATTTAAAGATAATGTTAATATAATTATGATTCATGTCTGCATTAATCGCGAACTCATCATATTAGCCCATTAGACAGCAATTTATTTCGCGTCAGATGAATCATGAATACAGAAGTGCAAGTATTTCGGTATTTAAAAGGCTTCGCTTTACTTCTCTCTGCGATTGGTCCAAAAATTTCTCACCATCCATTCAACCAATCATATGTCGGAACTAAAACCACACGTGACTTAGTCACCCCCGTTTTCCCGCGCTTCACGCAGTTTACAGGTAATCAGTATAAGTGACTGCTCAGAAGCTCCTCTTGACATTTTTCCTTACAATCTTTTTTCTTTGAAAGGCCTTGGTGATGACTTTAATTCACAAGTTTCAATAAAAGCTGGTAACGGGCAGTCTACCACCGCCTATGAGACCTCGTACCACCGTCGGTTCAGCCTGTGAAAAGGTTAGTATTCGGGATTTGCCCCGCCACCAGCAGCCACTCATGGAAAAAAAAAGATTGAAGCCCCTGCTATCTACCATAGCTGAAGTTCTTAAAACGTTCCTCACCATCATTCCTGGTCTTCCTTGTGGTCCTGCTTCGCCCCGTGCACCTGGGAGTCCCTAAAGGGCGCGAAATGTTTCAAACATAGCATAAAAGAGTATATTCGCTATAAGTAAAAAATCACACAGCAGTACAGAGAGATATGAGCTCTGTAGCCCTAACGACCTTCAACGTCATTACCTATTTACAGTCTGTAAGCCTGATCTAATAAGTAATTGTTTCTTCTGTTTACTCGCAATAAGATCTCAGGCGATATAACTTTTGTTTCAGGCGACCTGACCGGTTACCGTATGTATATTATTGATTTGGAACAAAAGGTAAGACCAGTAGAAAACGACAGGACTTTCTGGCAAACATCCTTATTCATTAAACACCTGTAGCACTGGCTACCATTTAACACCCTTTACTGGATATTTACACATTAAGTTCACAAAGTTTCTTATATTTTATCTATGGCAGAAGCTTTCAGTCGATTAAAAGTTCTTAACAGCGACCACAACCGCAAAATGACAAATACGTGGGATCCATGGTGGAACCGGCATTTGCCAATTTTATCTGAGGGCTTTGGTTCCACCACGATCAATAACTTTACCCCAGACTCATAAATACTCTAAGAAATATCGTTCACTACGAAACTCATTCCACAGTGGATCCATAGCCCAGTTTGTTAGAGCATAGTACAAAGAATAGGAGGGGTCATAGGCTTAAAACCTGTGTCCATCCTTTAAGATATCAACTCACAATTCCGCCCAAATCACCACCTGCTCCATTCAATCCTCGGGGTCCCTGTATTTCAATAAAAAAAGAATCAGTATTGTCAAAATCGAACAAAAGTAGAGTATTTATCCACTTGCTCTGACGGAAGGCTAACGCTCGAAATATCAGCTTTGAAATTCTTTAAGGTGGCCAATTTACGTTACCAACTCAATTACTAATACCAGATTCCCTTGTTATACCCTTCCACCGACGCAGCACCACAGTTTCTTTAGAAACTTACCCCCTTGTTAGATAGTAGAGTAATTATGTAAATGATTATCAAGATGCGCATGCTTCAATAAAGCAAGGATCGTGCGAGGATTGCGTCCTGCATGGCCAAATCAGAGTAAATAGAACCCAGTCCCTTTCAAGCGAGCCAAATGCTAATGGAAGAGGTTACACAAGAGAAACCATCACAATAGGCTTAAACAAAAATGATTGGATGCACTTATTATCATTAATGATTTATTATTTATCACTTAACCGGGGTACATAAGCACATTTTAACAACATTATTCATTTGCAGCACAAAACATACGTTTTCACCATCTCTGCCGCTCCTTCCCGCGTCGCCTGGGGGGCCCTGGAATCAAGTCAAACATATAGCAAGTGATGTTTGGGCGAAGAATTAAAAGGATACCGGAGATGGGAAACTTTAACAACATTTCAAACAACGACGCATCCGCAGCGAGTTTTTTTCTTTTAACTCACCCACTCTCTTTTTACTTGTAACTTATCACACTGTTTTCATTTTCAAATTTTGATTATCATTTTATTTTACAAAAGACTATTGGCAAAGATGGTTCGAGTTTCTAAAGGTTCGAGTTTTTCTAGTGAAAATTACAGTATTAAGATTAATGAAGCTCTGGGTGACCGATTTCATTTCGAGTTATTGGGAGTCGCCTGGATATGTTCCAAGGTTTCAAATTCAATAAAAACCAATGGTTTACTTTGTCCAATATCTACCTTTTGCCCATCCTGTCCAGCTTGCCCCTTTCTTCCCTTAACTCCTCTCGAACCCTGTAAACAACGGTAAAAAATGTTATTTAATCATCACTCTGAATCAAAAAATGAAAATGATGATACAATCTTGAGACAATTACATCGAAAAACATTTGGCACCATTAGCACTGAGCAAGGGAAATCACGAAATGGCACAAAATTATGCAAGTAAAAAATCCTTCGAAGCGACATGATTGAGTCAAATTTCAGATGATTAAAGCGCATTGTATTGGTTAAGGTTCAATAATGTCCTAACCCTTGCTTGCGTTAATGTACGATTTGTAATGACCTGAAATCAACCCTGTACATTAGGAAGTCATGGATTGACGATTGCTTAGCAAATGAGAAGTTTTAGAGGGGGAGTACTTGGGAAAAATAAAAAGAATTGGGAATTGAGAGCATCAGCATCAAATTTGTGTGTGTATACCAAATTGGCTACTCCTCCATGGGCTTTTCAGGGCCTATACAAATAAATAAATGAATGAATAACTGGATGAATAAGCAGTGTTTAAAAAACCCAATAGGCAAGAGGCAAACCAGATGGTTATATACAAAGCGCAGCCAGAGAATTGAACTCTGGGCAACAAAGAACAAATCCAGTGACTAGCAGAGTGGAAGTCTTGAACCTGAAACAAACAGATTACAAGCTCACTTCCCCAACCGTTCGGCCACACTGCCTTTGATGATATATTTCTTCCGCAAAAGGCAGAACATTCTAACACCCACCGGTCTTCCTTGTGCTCCTTTCTCTCCATCTGCACCTCTTGAGCCCGATGGACCCTAAGAAACCAACCAAGTAAGAAATGAGTTCCCCCAAAAACTCGACAGGGAGGGTTGCATAGGGCTCTAGCATTCTACTAACTGGGATCAGGAAGGACGCACTGAAAGGTTTGTCCCTCTCTGAACATTTCAAGTCGGTGCTTGTGCTACAAATTCGTTTTTTTAACAGAGTATCATTACAATGGCTGGCTAGTCCAATAACCTTTTTGTAGCCTATGAAAAGTCTAGTTCCTAGTTCTTTAGTATTTGAAAATATCTGGGCTTAATCTAACATCATTAACCATAAGTGTGAAAATTGCCTCTCTGCATTAACTTAAACAAAATGAAATTGGCGCTTTGAGTAGAGTTACGAATATAAACAGAAGCTGATCAAGTGGCAAGCAAATCCCATTATTCACACAAAAAACGAAAAAAATTAAGGACTGTCTGATGACCTACCATGGGACCTTGAGGACCCGGGGGTCCCTCGCTGCCGCCTGGACCCGGGTCACCCTAACAAAGGAGAAGGAAAGAGGTTTAAACTTAGGATAAAGAAAGATGGTACATTTTGAGTTGGGTTATCGAATATGGATACATGGTATATATTTTTTCACGGGTGTAGCTCAATCTTGCAATCTGAGTCTCCGGCGAGGGTTTTAACTTAGGACATTTGAATTTCGTGCTCCGACGTACTGCAATACCACTGAGTCACAGACCAGTCAGGCCATGCAATGAGTTCAAATGTAAAGCGTCCTGTACACTAAAAGTCAGTGTTTTGACTTAGGACATTTGAATTTCGTGCTCCGAATTACTGCAATACCACTGAGTCACAGAGCAGTCAGGCCATGCAATAAGTTCAAATGTAAAGCGTCCTGTTCACTAAAAGTCAGTGTTGAGCTCGGTCGTTGACTAGTAGATCAAGACGCAAATTTGACGGCCTGAAATTGTAATTCTAGTTAGCCACACGATTCTTTTTTCTTTGTACCACACTGACAGATTAAAGAAACTTTTTTCAAAAAGTTTTGTTTGCATCACCATTTACACTTCCATTAATAAGAGGTGGAATAGTTGACACACTCCGCTGTGGCTCGTATGTCAATTTTCGGCATACTATATTTCTACCTTATCTGGGTTTATTTTTGAACTGAGGTACCGCAACGTGGAATCTATCGCTTAATTACACAGGGGGATAAAGACACCTGACAAACAAACAAACTCTTCACAGGACATGAAATACCTGGGGTCCCCGCTCTCCATCGGGTCCAGTCTCTCCCTGTTTCCCTTGAGGACCCTAAGGCATAAACATAATAATTATGAAAAAAGAAACATGATACTTGTAATGAAAACTACCACCCAACTTTTCATAGAAAAAAACATTTAAGCAAATGCATAGGAATGCAAATTTATTAGATGATAAATTATTATTCAACACCCCAACATGTCCGGGGATACGACAGTCAAACTTGCCTTACGCTGTCACTCACGGGGAATGAAACAATGACCGTTTAAAACAGGTTGTCTAGTAAGTGACTTGAGTGATGTTCGTGCGTAATATTTGTCCTTACAGTCTAAACAAGAAAGATAGTCTGCAATGCGTTGAGGAACTTGGAACTCAAAGTACTAATACTGATTCTGGGAGATAAACATGGAATAAATTTTACATGAGAAATTATTCTTAGTTTTGTTTGAATCGTTACGCTCTAAGTGACCGTTTAATACAAGTGGAGGAATATACAAACAGGCCGTTGGGTCTCAGTCAAGGGCAGGTAAAAATCGTAGTAATTAAGGGGAGAAAATTTCGGGACTAATACAGAGTGACCGCTAAATACAGTGCCACTTAATAAAATTTTATCTCTTTAATTACTACAATTTTTACCTCCATAAAAGTAGTCGTGAGGGCCACAGGGTTATCAGTGAAAGCTGTCCCGTGTCACCTTATTTAAACAAAGTCTCGTAAAGGTTCGAAGGTGGGGAGGGAGATTTTAAGGTTTAGAATTTAAATTTATTTTTCAGTGATCAAAAAAAGGATGGGTTAGAGAACTTCCTTGACACTGATCTTAAATATTATAATCAAAACAATAACCAAGACGAAATTCCTTTATCTGAGAGTACTCATTGAATCACCGATCAAAATGCCTTCACATCTACCTGACTACAATGGCCTCCACAGACATCACCATAGGAAGACATTTTGAAAATAAATAGTAAACAATAGAAGCACGCACATGGTAAAGATATATTTACTTTACTGATGTGTTGTTGATACTGGGGGGGTACATACCGGAGATCCTCTCATTCCCATCTGTCCAGGAAGTCCTTGAGACCCAACCACACCCTAAAATCAGTTTAAAATATGTTAGGATATTCAAAAAATTGTATGTGCTGATTTCCCTTTCTTTGATCTCTGAAAGCCGCCAGTGCCTGAAACTAGTAGAAATCAAAACAGACTCTGTTCTGACAAAAAACGCACTATCAATAGTTTCTGGTATATATAATCACTAAAACAGTGGATTGCACTAAAGGCATGCCCTGATTGGCTACTCAAACTCCAGATATCATTTGCTATCAACCTTAGAGGAGTATGGGAGGGGGAGTATGGGAGGGGGAGGAGGGGAGGGGGAGGAGGGGAGGGAGAGGGGGAAGAGGGGGAAGTGGGGAAAAGAGAGGGAAGAGGGAAGAGGAGGGGAGGGGGAGGGGGAGGGGGGAAGAAGCGAAGGAGGGAAGGGAGAGAGAGTTAGGGAGAAAGTGATGATGCTAAATGTTTTACAGTACTTACAGGTGCTCCTTGGCTTCCTGGGGTACCAGCATTTCCTTGGAAGCCCTAAGAGAAAATCACAGTCTTAGATCCTGTAATTTGTTCTGAGCTTGCCAATTACTTTTTAGTCCAAGAAAGTTTATGGCAAGGAACAGGCTATGAACCTTGCTAACCAACTATGTTGATGACCCGAAAATGACACACTGGTAAGATTTTAATTAAGCTTAAAGCTATTTGAAATCTTGAGTTTGATGATTCCCACCCAAAAATTTTAGTCACTTCAACAGGAAGCACTTAACATTGTTGACGCATTAAAACAATCACATGACCGTAAAAATAAGATGACGAAGCCCAAAGCCATCAGTAAAAATCAAATTTAAGCAGGCACCATCAAGCCAGAGTCTAATCTTGAAATTCAAAGAAAATATTTTCTTACTGTTAACCCATCTCTACCAGGGGAACCAGTACTTCCTTTTGATCCTCTTGGGCCCTGAAATGAAGATAAGAAAGGTTTAAAATTACAAATACAAAAAAAAAAAAAAACTCATTGCAGACAATTACCTGGTGAGATAAACAAATGCAAAGCAGTATACAACAAATGAACAATAACTACTTACTCTGGGACCTGGACCTCCCCTCTCACCCAGTGGCCCTGCCTCACCCTAGACAAAAGCAAAATGTCAGTTGCCATTTTGTGTGCATGTGTAAATTGCATAGAGCAAAAGTAAGTCAAGCAAAATGCACAAATTTTGTTCTTTGTTCTTGCAACTTTCTCTGAAAGTTGGAGTAAAAGTTTGGCTGAAATGTGAGCTTTTTCGAGCAAAATTTTCCCAGCACAAGGAGTGCTATTTTGTCCCAATTTTGTTCCAAAAGGAAAGCTGACAATGAAAAAAACTTTTTACTGGAAAGTGTTCAAAATTTTATCAAAAAAGCAACAAACTTCTATGCCTGATTTATTTGACTGACATGTGTTAATTCTCCCAGAAAATTATCAAATAATAACTGCAACAAAATGATTAAAACAAAAAAATTGTAAGAAAGATGCAGGGATACCACCACTCTGTATGTATTAATTTATTATTCACTCTTCTATCCAATGTCCTTCACAACAGAAGAATAAAGAATAAATGTCTATGCATTGCACAGCCAGACCAGTGTCTTCAAATGCAAAAGATATTTTGATTGATACATTATGTCAGTTTGTCAGTATTTTGGCTCACTCAGTGTTTCTTTGTTGCTCAACTATGGTTACAAATTCTAATCTTCAAGACTTTGTTTATTTTTACACTTGTTATTGCTCAGTGCTTCATTTGCCTAAATTGGAATATGCTCAGCCAAGCCCCCCAGATAGCTTCTGCCCATGAAAAAATTGCAGAAGACTGCCTCACAAACATATTAACAACTATAAAAGAGGCATCTTGTAGCTTGAGAACAGACCTTGTCTCCTCTGGGACCTTTAGATCCCCTTCTTCCAGTTCTGCCTGTACTTCCCTACAATAAAAAGTCACCATTGTAAATGTTTATGGATTTTTCTCAAATAGAGCATACCTCATTTTTTATTGCTTTCTTTGCACATCTGAAATTGACTGACTTATCACTTATCATTCATAGCACCCACCTTTGCCCCTTTCATTCCTGGCATTCCAGGTAACCCTTGAGTACCCATGACTCCCTGGAAAGAAACAAGGGAAAGAACAATTAGTTTGCATTTGACCTGACATGACATGAAGCATCCCCTGTGCCTTGTTTTCCATAAACACTAACACGCTACTAAGAAAACACTCTTTGGGAATGAACTTCTGACTGATAATTAATGCTACCACACAATACACATACACTTAAAAAAAGGGAAAAAAGGCATAATCCACAAGGTGTTTTCTAAAGTGCACATACAAACATATGTGGGTGTTTCAAAAAGAGGCAGTATCTGGCAAAATTTGCAAAATCACCACCTATTTTCTCTCAAATTAGCCACTATAGAGTAAAGATCTACCTTTCGTTAGCTGCCTCCTTTACAGTTTTTGCTATCTACTTCAAAACTTAAACCCCTGATCAACTAGCAGTGTAAAAGAACAACAGTGATGGGCATAACATAGTCCATAACCTTCCACAAGAGCCAAAAAAACAAAGGCTTGATTGAGATGGTGCTTCTTTTATCCCAACAGTGGCTTAAGTACTTTACAACTGTTCATCCACTGTTATCTGGCTGGAAAAATCTTGCCTTAATCCTTCCAGGCCAATTGAGAGAAGTAATCCATGTCTACTACTATCACTTGCCACTTTATAATTTGCAGACCACAGCCACTGGCAAGTTAAGAGAGGCTGACTGCTTTTAGGGCTTTAATAGTATTTTAGTTTGTTTTTGAAAAATCACCTTTGGTCCAACAGGTCCAAGGCCACCTGGAGGCCCTTGCATTCCTACTTCACCCTGATTTAACATAAAAAAAAGAAGAAAAAGGGAAAGAAAAAAGAAAACTAATGAAAATTGCACAAAACGTTACATTAATTCTGGCAAAAATGAATGTGATGTTTAAGAAAAAAAACTGGATGAAGGAAATGCACCACATTAACTAACAATAACCAATGAATTGTCATTCCAATGGGGTTATTCAATGCACTTAAGGGCAGATGCGTGCATTTCAATGGCAAGTAGATTCTGGTGTTCAACACCAAACTAGCAATTTCATTAGCTATTCATGCTTCTATAAAGCATCTAATAGCGGAGACACATGACACAGATCAAAACACTCAACCCTACAACAAGAAAGTTTGAAATGAATTGAAGAATGCAGCAACTACTTGTGATGGGTGCTCACTCAAGGAGAATAAAACTGACAATGATTGCCAAATTAGCACAAATGAAGGAGCAAAAAAAGAAAAAAAAGAAAGCACCAATTGATTTAAAGATAAAAGTAACTCACAGGAGCCCCAGGGGACCCAGGGACACCAGGGTCTCCAGGAAGGCCAGCAGTTCCCTGTAATGGATTACAAATAAATCATTACTTGTCAAAATCTAATGAAGATGTAAATTAAAGGGATTAGCCATAATGCTTTGTGCTCTTGATAAATGCAACCAACAAAAATCCTGCTTTGAGTGATGGTGAAATTTAATATGAATCTTCATAATCCTTTCTATCCAAAAAGTGACAAATTATAAAGTATTATCTCCCAGCAATATCAACACAAACTGTCATGCTGGGAGGTGATGAGAAGAAAGAAAAATATCAAATGCTGTAGAAGAAAGAGGTCAAGACACAACACCAAATTCTCAGGGAAACAATAACAACAAAACATATAGCAGGCAGTATGGAGCGTTGATATAAAGAACTTGGGAATGAAAAGGTACATTTCAAACACCCTTCTCTCTTTAGGATTGTGAGTACCACTTCCATGTTCAACTTGATAAATAGAGTCTTTTTTATGTGATACCATTCATTTTGTATACAAATTTAATTTAAATTTTGGTTGTTTAAGTAAATTTTTGCTAGAAGCTGAAGAGCATCAAATTGATTTTTGTCAAACTTAGAAAATTGGAAACAAGAAAAACTGAGAAGGGAAAAGAGACCAACAGCAACTTTAAATATTTCAATTAAACTAAGTGAGTCCACCTACACCCTGTTAAATGACTATTCATACTAACACTGTCATTTTACAAGAGGGAGGGGAGAGAAAGTAGGGTGTTAAACTGTACTGCTTACCCTGTCTCCTGGTAGGCCTGGAAATCCTTTGACCCCAGCCACTCCTCTCTCACCCTATCAAACAAAAGATGATGACACTCAAGCTAACCCTGTCATGACAAGACCTCAAAATAGATATGACCTTTCTCTAAGTTTACTGAGGCAAGTTTACAGAAGCAAGAGAACCACAGCTATCAGTCTCAGTGTACCTACTTTAGTTTCAATGGCCTCAAGTAACTCAGAAAAAAGTGACATTACTTTCCCTTGAAATTAATGTTCATACACAGTAAACATATGTACACTAAACAATCCATTAGTATCTTTTAAATCTTTGATGAAGAGAAAATAAGCTTGAAGTTGACTAGGTACACTTCAAGGTTGAAGTTGGCCATTACACTGTAGAAGGTGTTTCAATAGTAAGTCCATCCCACCAGAGGAAAATGCAGCTATGCTCCTATGAATCCTGAGAACAAATTCTTAATAGAGGGCATTAAGAGGCCGCGAGAGGTGCCAACTGCCCTGTAACCAGCTATTTTAGAAAATTATAAGTACATTTGTAAGTTATTTTTTTTTTAGTTCATAGGATACTTACAGCCACTCCTCTCTGTCCTTTCCTTCCTGTTGGTCCAGTTACACCCTACAGCATAACAAAATTAGTACAGGAAAATAGGTACCAAAGAAACTAAAATTACCAAAGGGTCCTAGAATCAAAAATTGAGACAAATGTGCTGCAATTTAGGTTGGGAGCTCCTTCTTAACTTCAACCATTCAAGAACAATATATAATCATAACAGTTATCACAAGAGTACCAAAAAGAATATAACCTTAAGACATGAATGGGAGAGATTTATTCACTTTCAGTTGTTGAATCTTGCTTGTAGACCTCATAATTAGGGATTTGCATACCAATTATGTGGACAACATCAGGTTATGTTCAAAGAGCATACCTAAAATTGTTAATGAAATCATGGAATTATCTTAAAGAAAAATCCATTGAAACGCTATCTTACCTTTGGTCCCAGGTCTCCTTGTGGCCCCTGAGCTCCCGGCGGGCCTGGTGGTCCCTGCAGAATAAAGAATTATCTTGCATTGAAACTACCCATTGGATCTGTACTTAATTGATCTTACTTTAAGAGATAAACCTTGAGAGAGGTGATGGAGTCACAGAAAAGCTTCAAATTACATTCATAAATTTATTTTTTCTCATGTTGGCATATTTTTTAATTGATTTAGCATTTACATGTTTGTATGAGGATATTTCTCAAACCCCATAATTATCTAGTTCACCAAAAAGAAACTATAATTGACTTGGCAGACTGGCCAAAACATTGAGAGAATTTTGTTAACATTCAGAACTATCCAGATGAATCAATCACTTCAAACATACTAAAAAAACTCTTACACAAGTACATATCCATTGTTAAACTGATTATTCTGCCCCAAGATACAAAGTCATACATTAAAAAAAAATCAGGAAATATAAAGTAACCAAATGTCTATTTGGTAGACTAACAGTTTCGCCTTTTTCACCAGGAGTTCCATCAGGTCCAGGCATACCCTGTCAAAAGTAAAACAGCAAATTAAACATCACTGCAGTAAGCTATTGTGCGTACATTCACCTGAAATAGAGAAATCATTTTGAAAAGAATTTCCAATTTCAAAATAATCATTACAAAGATTCAATCCCAATCTTGGTACTTACAGGATTTCCAGGATTCCCTCGCACTCCCTGGGTTCCTTGAGCTCCTGGTGCACCCTAAGACAAAATTTAGCAAACCCTAAGTTTCCTTCATAACAAAAAAAAAGAGTATGTTCTCCAGCAACTTAAGTTATCTGATTTTCTATCAGGACTATCACAGCAACAATCAAGGAAAAGTAAAGTTGATTTGTAACTTACAGGTGGACCCATTTCACCTGAAGGGCCATCTATACCAGGGTCACCCTGAAAAACAAACAAACAAACTAATAAACATACACATTAAAAATATTAAATAAAACAGGCTCTGATCATAGATGACCAAGGAAATATTTATATTAAATCAAGTCACTATAAGTGATGATAAATTTCACAACAGTCTTCCATAGCTCACTTTCATGTCAGATGTCTTATTCTTTTGTAAAGAGCAAGAGATGTACATACAATTACTGGTACATTTGTATGATAGAAATCAAAATTTTCCTTGCCTCATAATGTTTTAAACAACTTTAATTTTCATCTGTTTATTATGACAAGTTATTGTAGTGGTTATTATCACCTGTCTTAAAGATTCCATATGCATATTTAATTTAATGAAATGGTGAGCAAAGAGGGGAAGTGCTGTGATAATGATGGCTTACAACTTGACCACTGTACACACAGTGACAAATCAGCAATATCTACAGCAATTTCTGTCTTTGAAATTTTTCCTTTTCATCCTGGTAACTGAAAACATCGACAGGTTAAGGGAGTGTAAATCAATAGAAACTAAAACATATTATTGCAATCTTTGATATACACATTAATACATGAAGGGTAGAATACACACCCTTGGTCCTCTTGCTCCACTGACGCCTTGCTGTCCAGGTGTCCCAACAGCTCCCTGAGAAAAATGCCATGACATCTCAATTTGTTGCATTACATGTTCGTAAAAAGCTTAGTTATTGCCATTTACTAAACAATTATCTTACTATTCTATTAATTAATCATTTATTTATTAATTAATTGGCCCTTTAACTCCTAGACGTGATTGACATTTAACTTTACCTCACAATTCCATTTACCAGTATATGTGATCTTGCAAACCGTTTATGAGATCAGACTAGCCTATCAGCTGGAGAGTCTTATTCTGATACAAGACCATATTCTTTTGTCTTATTTATAGGGAAACATATAACTTAGAGTAGGGAGAATTACTGAGTAGATCATGGAAGTTAAAGGATAAACATAACTAATACACTAATTTTCACTCTACCTTAGGCCCTCGAGGTCCTGGAGGACCTATTGGTCCAGGTAAACCCTGTGTAACACAACAGTAAAACAAAAGGTTAAGATAAGCCTATGTGTAGCCACACCCTTCCCCACAAGGAAAACCAGAGGAAGGGATCAATTCTTCACTTTTTGACTCACCATGATCGTGCATGTATTGAAGAATTCATAAAACAGCCAATAAAATACTACAGTGAAAAGAGTTCTCAACAGCTATTACATATTTCTTTAAGTAACATTGTATATTATTTCCAATATTTTCTATATGGATTCAACACCTTTGCATGAGATGTTCTTTTAAGGATCCTAGACTATAAACAACTTGATGCTTTCCAAAGTTAAATTTGGATGAACCTACCTTTGAGCCTGGATCACCCATTGGTCCTCTTCCTCCTTTCCTACCAGGTTGACCCTGCATGATGCACAAAGGAACATTCAGTAGTAAAATATATCATTTTCATCAATAGTTCCAATATTTACATTCCTGTAAGTATTAACCTGACTCTGACAGTATATACAGAATTAAATAATATGCTAGATAAATATAGGGCATAAATTATACCAACTAAAGTTTGTGAGAGAATGTGGATGTTTCAGATTGCAAGCAAAATTGTGCAATTTCTGTTTAGGATAAAAATCACACATAGTTGTTGTTGTTGCTTTTTTTATTGGAATATTCTTCTAGAGAATTTCCAGAATGAGTGGAATTTCAGAGGAAGTAAGACCATTTTCATAATGGAAACATTTCCTAAGAAAAGTCTGGGAGCAAGCCCTTATTATTGGTACAGCAACAGGGCATTTTTCCCCATATGTAAAAATAAAGGCAATTTCAACAGTCATGCATCACAACAATCATCACACAACGAGAGAGGTGTACCACAGATGTTTCTATTCAGGGTATAGGTGAGTCCTATTTATGGTTTTTCCATTCAAATGGTATGAACAGAATAAATAGCTCACACAATTTATTATTGTTTGAGAGAGCTGCTAAGAGTTAAGGTAAAAAATGTTATCACGCTATAATTTTATTTTATTTTCATATTCAACCAATCCCATTTGAACATACCATAGCACCATTTATTCCATTGGGTCCTGGTGCTCCTTGTTCCCCCTTGCAAAAGAGAAAAACCAATTAGACAAATTTCTATTTAGAGACACTAACAAATTTTAATTTATGGGAGCGCAATCAGAAAAGATATTGTTCTTTTCCAGCGTTAACATTCCTTTACACATGTAAATGCAAACAAATCTCCAAGCGTCATTGCCAAAAAACTTTTCCTCACAAAGGGAGATACACTCCCTGCTAAATTGTCCAAGCTTGTTAAATTTCAAAGTAACAATGTGGTTCATACAGACCTTCTGTAATTGTTGAAGAATGTGTAATCAATAAATCAAGAGCTACTTTGCTCATACAAACACAACAAAAAGCGAATCCCTTGGGTAACAAAGTTGTGTCTTACATGTATATGTATAAAAGATAGACTATACCTTTTCACCCTGAAAGCCAGCTGGTCCTTTTGCACCTTGCTTGCCTCTTTTCCCCTATAAAACAGAAACAGCTAAGATAGTGAAAATTTATCAAAGAGAAAACAACTTCCTTAAAAGATAGAAATGCTAAGTAAAAAGATAATACAGTGAATACTGAGAACAAAGAAAATTTTAGGATGTACTTCTCAATTCTGTCTATAGTTTTCAAACCACAAAGGCGGTCAGAGGAAACACAAGAAAAGATTGTTTGGCACCAAACAGAGTTGCTAAAAATATCTATGCCCAGGAGAGCCCTCTGACCCCCCCCCCCCCCCCCCTATAATTAGGGCTTGTCACTGCTGCCCAAGGTTGTCATAAATGCAACTTCAACTAAATTTAGCCCCAAGTTTCTTTCTAACTAAATGTAGCAACCATAATGGTTGCAGCATGAAATCCTGAAAACATGACCAAGATTTTATTAATTGTTCAAATAAATAAAGATATACCTACCCTTGTACCCTTTCGTCCCATCATACCAAACATACCCCTTGGGCCTTGATCTCCCTGGATAAAAAAAGGCAACAATATCAATTAGCTTTTGATAATATTCCAATTTTTCTGCTTTTTTAAAGAGATCTGAATAATTACCCACCTAATACAATAATGCACACCAACTGGCAGTAATATTATCATTCAAACATAAAATTCCTATTCATACACTGCCATGTGCTATACTGAAGATTAAAATGAAAAATTAGCATGCCTCATAGCACACTCCTTCAATCCATTCAGGAAATAAGTCTAGCGATTTAGCATTCATTTGATAAATTCATGGTAGCAGCGGGCAACTCAGAGTGAATGTTTTCTATGCATTTCAGAAAGTAATTCCTTCAGAAAATTCACGTATTACAATTAGAGGGTTGTAAACATAAACAGGGAGTCAGTGACCTTCATTATTTGCTTTGCAAGATACTCTGCTATTCAGTCTCCAATTCCAGATGCCTTTAAGAAGACTTGTTTAGAAAACTTGACACCAAAAAACTTTCTGCTTCTATACAACAACTGTCAACCTTGCCCAAAGGTAACTGAAGGTTTTGCCCTGAACAAGTTGCCATCCATTGTGACAACTTTGCCCCACATAAGAGATACTGCCTAGCTTAGATTTACATTTTACTCTAAGTAAGCACACAGTTTCTACAGTATTTTTTCATTCATCTGAATCATATTTTTGAGCAGACATTCTGAAGTGACCTTAGAAAATCCTAAGTAAATCCTAAATAAGGATTTTCCATTTCTTTCCCTAATCCATCAACTCCATCCATATACAGCTGTATGCAGCGAAGAAAGTCTCACTTTTTCTCCTGATAGTCCCACAGGTCCTGGATCACCAACAGAACCTTCTGGTCCCTGAAAAAAGCGGTAAAGTCAAACATGTAGAAACAAAAAAGTTCTCAGATCATTTCTGTGTTTTTTCATTTTCTGTTTACAGCACAGAATACCTCAATCTTGATCAAAGACAATTGCATGAATAGATCACATGGAGTGTAATATCCAATTTTTGTATGGCACTTTGTTGAAATTTAGGCCTTACAAAATAACTAAAACATGTTAATAAGTGACACCTTTATTTAAAATAAATAAATAACAATCCCAACACCAAGGTAGTCCCATCAGAATGTATGGCTCTGCTATAAATAGGAGCCCTAGTGAATAGGATCCTAAAATAAATACAATGCATAATGCAAAAATAAATATAAATAATACTACTACTAATAATAACGACAGTAAGAATATACATGCTATCTAAATATTGAACAATACTATAAAAATCTATATATATACAATGGTATAAAAATCTGTAAATACACACAAAACAATAAGAAAAATTTCAATTAAATGTTAATTTTTAAACTATTGCAAAAAAAAACTCTTGGTATTTGTGAAAATTATAGCATAAAATAATCAAATTAAGCAAAAGATAGTTTTAATCATTTTAACAACAGTTTTATTTTTTGTAATGTGCAACAAAGATGTACAGGGAAGTGCAGGAAAATTATTTTGTTGAGAGTATAATGGAAAAAAAACATTGTAAAAGTTGCACACGCAATTCATGATTTTAAATCAGTCATGAAACTTTACATACTCCACTTGAGCCTTTAATTTACAAAAAAAATTTAGATTCCCTTCTTTAATTTAGTCTTAATACACCTGAAGATAGCCAAAGAACTAATCCATTCCATGTTTATAATATCTGTAGGTGATCGCTACGACGTAGCATTCAACAACAAATTTTCTTAACTCATGAACACAGGCACCTCGTAAAATTTCCGTATCTGGGGAAGATTTGAGTAAAATTTCCGCACAGCCATATACTATTGTAAAACAAATCTGTTTTCCCAATGACAATGTATTGTTTTTGTCATTGTTCTCTCTATCCAAGAACTGAATGCATAATGTAGTATGGGGCCGTTGTGCGGAAATTTTACCAGTTATCAATTCAGGTTAACAAATGTAAGATATCGACCGAATTCCCCTCAAAGATGCCGAGATATTTTCCACATACCATCACCTTCTCTACATATTGGGGTACAGGCAGCCATGTTTTTTAAATTTCTAACATTGCACCGGTTCTTTCATGAACAGAATCATGTGTTTCTTCTCAAGAAAGCCATTTTTTCCAACGTAATTTTAAGACAGCAAAATTGAGGCATATAAATGTCCGCCATGTTGTCAAAGATTCAGTCACCAGTGCTACTCTTCGTTTAAAGCTCGAGGAATCCTCGTGCCAAGTTCTCTATTTTCATAACGTTTCAGTTGAGTATTTCGTTTGAAATTTATTATGCAAACCTTTCCATCGAAAAATTATTTTAAAAAAAAACGTAAATAGTCCATCCTGGATTTTTGAGAGCAGTTAAGGACAGATAATGTTTATCCTGAATTTTGCGCTCGAAATCAATCTGTAATTCAAAACGCAATTAAGACCTAATTAGCAAACTAAAATCTCGTGCAAACGTGCAAGTTGACTTGCAAAACGCACGATTTTGCATAACTTGCAAGAAGTCGCATTATTCCACTTGTTTATCGCATCTCTCTCTGCAGCAAACGGTGCGGTTTAAGTTATGAATGAATGCACCAAAAGTATGGAGTCTTGTTCACCTCACATACAGCAAAACAAATTCCTTTCAAAAAGGAAGACACAGCCTCCCACGAAACCGAAATCGAGAAATTCTCTAGGAAAGAGAGCGCATCACAATGCACTGGAACAACAAAGGAGAGGCGTTATTCGAGGTTGCTTCGAAAGCCTTCGCAAATCAGTACCATCTCTGGCATCAGACAACAAGAAACTATCACGGTCCGGAATCTTAAGAGAAACAGCCGTGTATATAAAAACGGCAAAGGAGAGGGTTGCAGAATATGCGGACGATCTTGAAGAGCTCCGTCTTCAAAACCAGCTGCTCAGTGGAGAAATTGGTTATTTGGGGTACCTGCAAGACATGACACGTCCACAAGACGATCTGAATAGTTTTACAAAAATCGCAATGGAAGGTGACGAAACTGAAGGTAGCCAAAACGAGGGGTACCACACAGACAGCATCATGCTCGATAGCTTGCCTCTACCTCAACACAACAAAGATCTCAAACACAGTTTTACATTCGTTTATGACACTGACGTTCTCTTCATGGAAAAAGGTCTCGAGAGTATGGATTGTCCGAGGAGCGTCGCTCTAGAAGGAAAGAGCTCCACAGACGAGGAATGTGATGTTGATGTCGACGTGGAAGGCTTTGAACAAACACCGTTCTCCTTCACGGCCATATCTGATGCTTAAAATTTTTACTCATTTAATTCACGGTCAAAGTAACCCCATTAAAGGAAGACACAAAGGGAGCCAAGAGTGTATATTGACATATTTCGCAGAGATATCAAATGTTGTGTTGGTAATAATAAACATGTAATAGTGGATTCTCAGAAATGTAAAATGACTTCAATGACTGATTATTAAAAAGTTGATTATGAAATGTAGTAAGGTATGTCCACGATCATGTGTTACTCCACCAGCAAATTTCCAAGTGACTGAGAAAAGTAGTCCGGATCTGCATTGGTTTTGCCTCTTTTCGTTTCGTAACTGTTATAAAACTCGTGCCAACTCCTAAACCGATCAGACAAAAAACTACAACATCGCCACTTGAAGGCCGTTTTAACAGAAGGAAAAACCGGGTACGATCCGGACCCACCAAGAAAGGAGTACTAATCCCAAAATTTTGCTAGGATGGATGCGTACCTGTGTTTTTTACGGTTTGGGGCCATAGGCGTCTTTGACCCCAAAACGTGAAAAAAAAAACTTGGGTCCTTACTACTTTCTTTATATTTTTCGAGTCCATACACGATTTTCCTGCGGTCTAAACGGCTTCTTGTTGGTTACCCCCTTTAAACCTTGCTTCTGCAAGTTTATTTGTTTTTAGCTTAAGTTCTTATAAACTCCTTGCAGCACTTTCATTTTTATTTTACTACTACCTCGTTCCGACTTCCTTGGTTTCTGTTTTACAACACTCAAAAGAGAAGCCTGCAGCTGTTAAATTGTTTCGATCACTCAATTTTTACTGTCTGGCGTGATGTGCTGTTGCCATGTAACGCAGTCGTCTAAATGATCTTCTTCAAAATGTTTTAATAGCATATTTTGTGGCAAAAAGTAAAATGCCTCAAAAGGAAGTCAACTATGTATAATTTACAACAACATTCATCTTATTGAAGGAAAGCTTATTGAAGGTAAGATACTTACGTCCTTTCCAGGTCTCCCTGGGTCTCCTGTCGGTCCGACATCACCTGGAATACCCTAGAAACAAACAATCCCAACCGTTAGAGGGCAAACTCACCCTAGACTAGTGAAGTCTGATTGAAAGAGGAATTCTTACAACGACGAGCTGCAACACACATCAAATTCAGAATTTTCTTAATTCAAACATCGCAGCGAAAGTAACTTCCCTGCCCCGAACAGGCGCTGCATCGTTAAATAATAAGAGGGATGGTTAAGATAAGATTAAAAGGCTGATCAGCATAGAACCTAACATTCGTGGTACCCAACTCGACCATACTAAATGCGCAATTTTTCATGAGTAAATTGACCAGAAAGATGTGCGCTCAAGAGATGACCTATAAACAATTTCGGTGAAAATTAAACATGGGAACTAAAACAGACGTCTGCCTCTAAGTAAATTTGTTCACTCGACACTCAGGTTGGTCTACTTCGCAGCTGTCCTTTTGCCATTTCATGGAAAATTGCGGGACAATCTTAAGAACCAGTGTGGATGATGTTTCGCCCAATTCCGCTTTCAGTGCGTTAAAACAATTTTCAACTGAGTGTTAAACATAATAGTGATAGGTCCAGAAAACTAACTCCTCTTTTTTAATCAATCAGATCTAACGGTTAAATCAACCGGGATTTGGCCTGTCGCGTTTTCTTGCGCTTCAGGGAGACTTCCTTTTAATTCAGTCTTGCCCCATGTGATACTTTCCTTTGTTTCAATGGGCTTCGTGATCATTTAGATTTTAGTTTAATAACATTCAACCGAAATGCACTCTAACTGCCTCCAGTCAACTTAGTGTTGCATTACGAACGTGTCAACGGAATATCCCCTCGTGTCATACACACACCCCACCTGTTCTCCTTGATTTCCCTTAGCACCACGGCGTCCGCGTTCTCCTTGAAGGCCCTGGAAACAAGCAGAGATTTAAATCGCAAACAGTGTCGACGTGTGTCCTTTTTTGGACACAAAACATATTATAACGGAACATCAAGACGCTCGTCTACGTCAGCGGAAATCATGTTTCATGAACTAACTACGGCATTGAACAAATTTATACTATGTCTATTAAAAATGATATAAACATGACATAGATTAGGCAGAAAAACAAGGACATTTTTTACCCGTTCACGGGTAACACAAAATTACGCTTAGGTGATAGCAAGATTAACAAAAACAGGATATTGGTGGATTTTTTTCCCGTAACTTAAAGAACACGAACGTAGCTTATCAAACGAATGGTAGTCCAAATCGCGTGTAAATTTGATACTTAGGCCCTACCTGGTTACCAGTTTCTCCCGGCTCTCCTGGAAGACCTGCGGCACCTATCCTTCCATAAGTTCCCTTCAAAGATAAGAAAAATTCGTAACAAATTACACCAGGTGGTAGTTTCGTTCCATTTTTTACGTTTGTTTTTATATCAGAGGAATTTTTTCCAGCAGCTGCACCTTGTTAACCTGTTAGACAGAAATTACTAGTTGTTCGAACGTTAAGAAGATTAGAACGCTTTGAGCACCGCGATACTTCCAAACAATATCCATTAACTTTTAATAACAATCTCTGCTATTGATATAAGTAGTGCATGAAACATAAGAGAGAGACGAAGTCAGACCGCCTTTAGTTATTAAAAATCCTAAAAAATTGTGCGCTTCTACGCCTTGAGATTGGTTTTGTGAAAATAGGTCAGTATGTGAGCTTAGAGAGCTGTAAAAACATGATTGTTAACAAGGTCCAATGAAAAACTTACCTTTCCTGACAACAAAGACATCACGCGGTTTCAAAAGAAATTAATATATTCAAATGTAGCTTTTTCCAACTGAGTGTCGAAAATGAGCCGGGATTGTTTTGGTTACATTTTTCTTCGCTTTATGATTGGTCCAGAAAACTCGCGCCACTATCGATCGTAGTTAAAACTAAACCCAATCGCGTCTTGGTCATTCGCATTTTTTCCCGCGCTTTAGGCGGTTTGCTGGTTTTTACTTTGAGTTCTCATTGGCTCTTCAGGGTATCTTCCTTTCTTCTGATTGGCCGTATGATAAATTTGATTTTTTTTCTAACGACACTAAATCGAAAAACGCTCTATATGGTGCGACACATTGACATAAAACCAGCCCCCCTCTGTGGGACTGAAGAATGTTGACAAACCTTCTGTCGCTGCATAGATTGCCAAATTTGCACGATCTGGTCAATTTCATCCTGTGACAAGAGTGTTCCTGCTGGTGCCTAATCAAACAATAGACAAGAGTAGCTTTAAACATTCCCTAAAATAGCTGAATACTATTTCTTTCACTTGTCACTCATCACGCAAGATTCAAACCATAGGAAGGAAAAGTTGCGTGACGACACAGTAACACCCAATAACGATAACCTGTCATCAGCCTTGACCCAAATGTTCAAAGGGTGGATAACGCTTTACGTTATGGAAACGCTATCCAGTGGATGTGCTTACAAAACCTACTGCGCTATTCACTGTATAGATATTAATACAGGGCAAGGAATTTTAAGCCTGTCGATAGGGAAATCTCAGGCAAGTTTGGTGAGCTTACATGTGATGATGATCAACTGACTGTTCAGACTGAATCAAAATATTTGATTGAAGAGGATCTGAGAACCAAGAATGGAATCGAGCGACAGGGCGAGTCCGTGACGCGAACACGCGAAAAAAAAATAAAACAAACTTTTGATAAAGCAAGTTGAGGTAACAAAAACAACGTCAGTTCCTTGAGAAATCTACTATGGTGTTGTGGAATGTTATCCATGACACCCAGACGCGATAATATATTAGCGAAACATTTTCCGCTTGGACGGCAGAGCCTCACTGAAAATGAATTTTTCACTCAACGATGAGGTAAGACTTCTTACGCATGTGATCAGTGTGATCTCCATGGAGCGTGGATCGACCTCAAAAGTAGAATTAATCCTGCAAAGTACAAAAAGCAGAAAAATCGTTTATCATACCAACTACTCAGCACTTACCCCGATAAGTGTAATACCCGACGGACCTGCACCTCCGGGAGGACCCGGGGGCCCCTTGCCTCCTTGAGATCCGATATTCCCCTATAAATGGAAAAAATGGAGGTCAGAAGATTTCTCTGCTCGTTTGATACTTACGCTGTGAATGATTTACTAGTTAATTGGCACATTATACCAACTAGTTATAGTTTGAGATGTTGCATACGTGTGGGAGATATATTTGCTCAACTCAAGATCCAGTATATCACAATTTCAAAACGTTAGTGAATGTAAAAGAAAGAAAGCAGAAAATCAAGAAGCTAACTTTAATTCCTATTTGCTGTAAACAAGCGCTAAGCTTAAAAGTAATCGATCATAAAGCGCTACTGCGTTTTTTTGTCTTCTTCCCATAATTCAGTTTTAGTTATCTCCATCCGAAATCAGTTTTAGTTATCTCCATCCGAAATGTTATCATACCGGTTTTCCAATAACACCTTGACTTCCCGGGTCACCAGGTGAACCCTGTGTAAAAAAAAGGAAACATTTTAACCACTACAGACGCTAAGGGCTGTTTTACTTAAGGTCGTTTTACAAATTTAGTCATAATAAAGACTGTAACTGCTTCAAGACCAACTTAAATTCCTCGGTAGTAGCCTCTTCACTTGCGTTCTCTTAGCCCCGTTGCGCGCACAAATTCTGAGACGAAGTGAGCGAGAGACCACACCTTACTTACTTGGCGAGATGGTATCAAGGCCCACAAGGGGCCCAGGCTAAAACAAGTCGAGAACGCTTGGGATCTAGGCTTCACCTGATTGACATGCCTACAAAGGAAATCTCGTTGGCTTGAGTGGCAGTCGTCTTCTTGGGAAAGCGCGCAAGGCGTAATTATATCTAGTTGCTTGCAAATTTTTTCTTTTTTTTGTTTTTGCTTATTAAATCTAATCCAAAGATGAAGCATCAGATTCAAAGATGCATCATAATGTAGGCTCCCAAGGTAAAAGATGGTATCACAATTTATATTCAAAGACAGATTTCTTTAAGTCTGGTTTCCTTCTATTATTTTGTATCACCTCGATCGTTCCAGAAAATGCTCAAGCATTCGGAAAGGCTAAACGAAAACCAGGCCAAGAAATCATAAACGACCTGGAGGATTGGTATAAACACAATACGTCAAATTTTGAGCTCAGGCCTGATTTCCATGTAAACGCCCGAATCGTATCAAATCGTCTTGAAAACCGACCATTATATGGAAACCAGGCCTTAGACATTTGGGAACCTGAACCATCACAGTTGTTTCTTTGCCCGCAGTAACGAGGCGTCGAAGGAAAGCTTTCACATGAAACGAGGGGAAGTTTTTGAAAAAACTGTGGTGCTGCGTCGGTGGGGGTATTACAAGATCATTTTGTTTTTTATTTACTGTGTTGATGATGTAAAATAACCATCGTAAAAGGTTTATAGAGCTAACGTTTCGAGCGTTAGCCCTTCGTCATTCCTTCTGACGAAGGAAGCAAATTATCTCTCAGGTAAAAAGCTCGCCATCAGAAACGGATGAAGAATAAATGTCTGATTATAATCATAATACACCTTCACAACAGGCGTAAATTTTTTTCAGTTTGCGTATTCGTGCGAGTAGACAGATTCCAATTTTATTTTGCGCACTTCTCCTCTCGTGCATGGCTTTCCATTAATGACTGCCTCGAGGCGAACATAAGATAAACATTCACACGATAATACTTACTGAAAATCCAGGGAGGCCTGGTATTCCCTGTCGTCCCGGATTTCCTGGCTCTCCTTTGGGTGGTAGGGTCTGTCATAAAGATAACAAAAATCGTCATTTCCGTTTTCATTTTTTCCTTTCCAGCCTACATTCAAATGAATCAAGAAGGTAAGTTTCTAAAGAAACTGTGGTTGGAGATATAACAATATAATTTGGTTTGATCATCTGAGTTGATAATGTAAATTAACCACCGCAAAGAGTTCTATAGCTGACGTGTAGAGCGTTGGCCCTTTATCAGAGGGAATAATTCGCTTTAACGTAGGGCTAACGCTCGAAACGTCAGCTATAGAAACTATTTACGGTGGCCAATTGACGCTATCAACTCAATCGATAAAACCAAATTAGCCAGCCTACATTCAGGTTACCATATGTTGGGAGGCGAGTGCAGATAATTGTGTCAAAAAGGCAAAATGTGCGACGCACTTGTTCATGTGTAGGGTACATATAAATTGTCAAAATATCCATAACCAACCGGCAATTCGTACCTTGGACAGCGTTTTCCCAAAATGAATATTCGACCATCGATTTCAATGTTAATATTTTATTCCTAATAAACTGTGACATTTCCCGTAAAATTTTCAGAACGTATATATTCTTCCTTTAAATAGTGGGCTGCGTAAAGCACTTCCGAAAAAATTTTAAAAAAGATATTTTTAGACCGGCACGCGCGGGGGAGGTCCTCGCCCGTGCCAAGATGCGCGTTTCCTTTCCAAACCTTTAATAAATTTTTCGTTTTTGATCGTCTCTAAGTTTGTCACCAATGACCTAGAACCTGTCACTACCTCTAAAATCGAACGGTAGTGACTCATGAAATGTGACAAGGTCGACAGTCTCTGTCCACTTACCGAATTAAAGAATATTTCAGAGGGTGGTGGATTAAAAGGAAGTCGGTAAGTCCTCGAACTACGAGACGACAAAAGAGAAAAAAGCAAAAACAATTAATTCTATACCAAGGTGATTTTCGGTTGACTACATATCCAAAAACAAGGCTATTTTTCCTGCTAACAAGCAGGGTATCTTACGAGCAGGCCCCTATTAAGAGCGTTGCAGGACGCGCGTTTCTCCACCCGCAGGAAAGTATGGAGGCCTGGAGCAACGCGAGCCAGCGAGAGGTCTGTAAGGGGTCTGGGACTGATAATGATGAATCAGCGCCAGATTCCGGCAGACCTTTCCCCGACTCATCTCAAATCTTCCCGCGGGCGGAAAAATGCGCGATTTGCAGCGGTAATAATGAGGACTAGCTTGTAAGCTAACACGAGTAGCAAACTAAGATCATTGAGTGTGAACATACAGAACATGTATAATCTACATCTTGCTACATGAGAACCCTTAGTCATCGTTAGCTATGCCATGATGATTCAGCAGTAATATTGTAAAGAAAAATTAGATGCTTGTCAGTCTTTAAGTTTTAAAGGTTAATGGTTACGCTCAGTTTAAAGCTATTTCAAAAAGCGCTCCCCTTTGAAAT